TGATGTCCCCTCAGCTGGGGGGCGTGGCCTGGACCCCAAGCCTCCTGTGACTTTGACATTTCTGGAGACCAGAGCTGGGCCACCCTACGGTTCTTGCTAAAACAGACCTGATTTAGTGACATGGAGCCCCTGAGACACCGGGTATGGGACCCAGGACTCCCATGTCCCCAGCCAGGCTGGCAGGGGAGGGAACAGTCCCTCACCCCAGCAAGGAAGGGTTGTGCGGGGTCACCTGAAGGGCAGCAGTGTCCAGAGGACTCGTCCCCTCTCCCTCCTGGTTCACTCTTGCCCTGGCCAGTCCCCCCCGAGGAGCAGAGGGCTGGTCCCCAGGGCTGACACAGGGCGGCCTGTGGCTTGTCCCTGCTCAGGAGGGACCTGCGATGGCCGGTGAGGTCTGAGGCTGCACAGGGGCTGCGCTTGTGGCCTCGGCAGGGGAGGGACGGTGCCTGTCCTCCACCAGCACCCATGGGGGTCACCAGCGGGCACCGTGCAGGGCAGGGGACAGGCAGAAGAGAAGGAGCCCCGGACGCGGTTTCTAGCAAAGGCCTCCCCCGGTGGGAAGAGGGTCTGCCCGCCAAATTCCACAGGGAGCCGTGCCTCGCCCTAGACGGGGCCAGGGACCTGCTCGGGGTGGGAGGTGACCTCAGCGCAGCCCTGACCCCTCTGCCGCCTCCCCGCAGACCTGCTGTTCCTGACGGGCCTGGCCTCGTCCGTCTTCCTTCTGTCAGAGCTCGCCAAGCTCTGGGAGAGGTGCTGCTCCCCAGCCAGGAGAGCCGGGGCGCACCGAGAGGACGTGTGAGCCGCCACCCGAGGGGCGTCCCTGCGCCATCTGTGTTCGGAGCCGTGGCCCTGGCACAGCGTGGACTTCAGAGGGAGGCTTCCAGGGCGGCGCAGCTGCAGGCGTGGACTGTCCTCTGGGGAGACCTGGAGGAGGCCGTGGCTGCTCTCTGGAGGCTGCTTCTGCTGTCCTCCCCCTGCGGGGCTCTGGGACGCACGGGAGGGGCCGCATTTATTTATTAAATCACCTGGTTTTTATCAACTGTGTCTCTGCCTGTTCATGCCACAGCTTGAGGCCACGCAGCCCAACTGGTGACACTCGGGGCCCTTCCAGAGGCGGCCAAGGGTGTCCACACTGTCCGTCCTCTGAGGCTGCAGCTGACGGCTTGGGGTATTTTTATGAAGTGCGAGGAGGAGCCTGAATTATTTTGGTTTCAATTCCAGCACCAAAGCAAAAGGCTGAAGCATGATTTACATAAGTCTGATTAAAGGCGCCCAGAGCACCTCGCTCACCTGCAGCGCTGGACACGGCCGGACCAGGCGAACAACGCTGCGGACAGGGGCACCTCTGCAAACCCCTTCGTTTCACATTCCTTGTTAATAATTCTAAGGAAGAAAACCACAGATGCTAAAACCAAAAGCTTTTTATAGATTCAGCCTCTGCAGACCAGCTGTCCAACCCGGGCACACGGGGGCTTCCATCCTGGGAAAAGCCACAGGAGACAGCTCCGCGGACGCCAGCACAGAGCTGAGGTCAGAAGGAGGAGGTGTCACTGTTCTTAATGCCCTAGAGGTACTTCTGTACAGGGCGGCAGGGACAGGGCTCGGCCCCGGGAGAGCGGGCAAGTGTCCCTAGTTCTAGGCATGCTGTGATGGTGTCAGACTCCAGGAGACGCCGCAGAGTGTCAAGAACAGCAGCTGGGGACTCACTAGCAAGGTACGTCTCAGGTCCCCCAGGCATACCGATCAGCCCGGGAACGGAACCCCACACTGGAGACGCCTCCAGGACTCGGGTGACAGTCACTGGACGGAATTGCTCCATGACGTCACTAGGGTGAAGCTGTGTACGAGAGAGCTTTCCTGTGTTCGAACGGCACCTGTTAGGAGAAGTGTCCATTCACAGCTCCAGGAATGACCACGGAGATTTACCCAGCAGGCCCCGGGTTCCTGCTGTTGGACACCAGAGCTCAGTTAGCCAGGTCAGCCTGAAACACCCATTAACGCGGGCAGCTACCTCAAGAACAGCACCACCAGCCTTCAGAAGTGGTCACGGTGCCTCCGAAGTGCAGAGAAAAATAAGAAGCAAACACACCAGCAGGTTCCAGAAGACGGCCGGAGGGGGGTGGCTCTGCCTTATCTCCTTATCGTGAGACTCCAGCTACCAAGATGGAAGAGACCTCAACTCAGAAATGCAGGCCATGAGCCCGTGGCCTTTCAAGTCAGCGGGGACAAGGTGTACCACTTCCTATAAAGCCTGCTGGGCTTGTTCTGGGGTGAGACGAGGCCACGTTCTAGGACACGTTCGGAAGGGACTCGAGCTTAGACACAGCGACATGGAGCAGAAGGACGAGTCTTGACTTCCTCAGGGAGGAGAGATCTCCCAAGCAGACTACCCCAGAACGCCTCAGAGACGCTGCCCAAGGCGACGTGAAACAAGGCCACGGGGTGGACAGACGGAGGACGCGTGCCGTGCAGGCCAGGTGCTCTTGGCTTTCTCCACCGAAGCACCTTGAAGTCGCCAAGGAAAGACCTGCCTCCCGAAGCGCAGCTCCTGAACGGTGGAGCCGCTGCAGGCCCAGGAGAGATTTCAGAACCAGAGGGACAAGCGAGCTGTCACCACGGCGGCGTCGCTGCGCAGGTGCAAACAGTCCCCTGCACGTTAGGTCTAAAGTGAGTTCAGGAGGGTGATCCACTTGTCAACATCTGAATAATGGAAAGGATACGCCTCCGACCCACTCTGCAGCTCCTGCGGGCTCACCTCGGCCCAGCCCCGCCAGGACGCACAACGGGCCCTCACTGCGCCTTTGGCCCTAGCAAAACACTGTGTGCTGTGGGTCAGAGTGACAGGGACAACAGGTGGAGAAGGTGGGGACACGGAGCAGGGCTGTCAGAGACACGAGGATGAGGGTCGGTCGGTGGGTGAGTTCTGCTCAGGTGTGGCTCCCCTGGAGGACCATCGGGGGTCGGCTGGGCCAGAGGGCTCACTGCCGAGACGCGTCCCTCCGGGTGCACATGTAACTTTGTACGCATGTGGCTTTTTCATAAGAAAAAATTGCTTTACCTCTTCCTTCTAGCACTTTCTGGGCTGTGCTTGGTCCTCAGGTGCAGGGAGACCCCCAGCCTTTACCAACCGAGTTCTTGCTCGGATTCGTGCTGGCCTTTCATCTCTGTGACCGAAAGACCTGACAAGGACCTCGTCCCGGAGGAAACGTACTCTGCTCACGGTCTCAGAGGTTCAGTCCGTGGTCAGCCGACTCCATCGCTCTGGGCTCGAGATGAGGCCCGGCATCACGCAGAAGGCCATGGTGGAGGGGCAGCCGGCAGGCAGAGAGCACGCAGCGCAGGGAGGCCGGGGTACTGCAGTCCCCAGGCACCTGCCCCGTGACCTGCTCCCTCCCGCCAGGCCCCACCGCCTCCGGTTACCACCCACTCATCCTCAAACCATGAGTCCCTCAAACAGACTGACCCACTGAGGGGTACGGTCTCACCACCTCTCACTCACCTCTAAGCCTTCCCACACTGTCCCACATGAGCTTTGGGGGACACCTCAAACCCTAACATTCCTTATCTGTTAAAACAAGATCACGAGTTTCTCAGACCCAGGTGTGATTAGGCCTGTCACCCTGCTGACACCCCAACCCCTTGGTGTGCTGAGAAGATGGGGACAAAGGTGTGTGAGTGCAAAGAGGCCCTGCACCATCCCGGGAGGCTGTCCCCCACCACCCCAGAGGCTGCCGTGCCCCCACACTCCCAGTGCCCCCCTTGTTGGTGTAGGGGTGCTGCCCTGGAAGTGGCTGTATCTCCACCTGTCACCTGGGGAGGAAGAGCACAAGGTCAAGCAGCCAGCGGGTGGCAGCCCCCTGACACCAACGACAAAGGAAATCAGTGCACATCCGTGTGACCTGGGAGGTATTTAATTGCACTTTTTTAAAAAAATCCAAAACGAGGGGACCACTGGGGACCTAGCTCTTGGGATCCACGGTAGGGAGGGCACCTGTGTCTTATCCGGAAGACCACGTAATGCCCACAAGCCCTGAGAACTGGCTTCCTGGGAAGAGGACCGACAGTGAGCAAGTCCCTGGGCCCGCTGCAGCCTCTGTGCACCGAGCGGCTTTGTGAGGGGACCCACGAGGCCCTGCCTGGTCGGGGTGGGGCTCGGCAGAAGGCCCGCCCGGCCTCTGGGGGAAACCAGGACAAGGCAGCTGGGTCAGTGTGGCTTCTAATCCAGGGAAGTATGGGACAAGGGCACAGTGCAGCAGCTCTGCCCGAGACAAAAGGGACAGTCAGACTCGGAGCTCATGGTTCCTGGCAGGAGGAGGGTCCTCAGCAGCACCCACTCCCCAGACGTCAGAGGAGAGGCGGCGGATGTGCGTGGAGGCGCAGCCCACTCAGGTAGCCCTCAGCATCTGGGAATCCCTGGGGTTCAGGGCGAGTCTGCATCTCCCCCCCCACCGTTCCCCGAGGGAGAACCCCCAGGCCAGGAGTGACTCTGAGGGCTGTGATGGTGGCTAGCGGCTCGGCCCCCAGCAGCCCTGGATGTCACTCGCCACTGACTTTCAGGGTGGGCTGCTTGCATCTATCAAGCAAGCTCCAGGCTCAGGACCCCCAAGTGTCCCCCACATTTGAATTGGCAACAGAGTTGCTACTTCACGCCCGTGAGCCCCCATCTGCTCACGATTCAGGTCTGTAAAAGAGCCAAGAAAGGCAGACGCAGACCATGACACGCACACAGTGGGGACCACAGCGCTGCAGCGCCCCCTCTCCCCCCTCCAGCGCCCCACCCACCCCCGGCCGGCTGTGCCTCGATACACAAACATGCTCCTGCCCGAGGACACTGTCCCCACCAAGCACCGAGATTCTCGCCCAAACGTCCATCTGTTACCAGTCAAAATGGACCATCAAGGCACTAACTGGGATGGCCTGAGCAGAGGCCAAGCGGCCCCAGTGGGGGAACTCCTTCCTGCAGGACAAGACATCCCCAAGAACTGCGAATTCCAGCCGAGTTCCAAATGTCTGTGTCTTTGGATATCATTGATGAGAAATGAACAAACTTGAAGACTGAGTTGCTAATTTGACACTCAGGTTGAGAGGTCATCTCCCAGAAATCTTATCTGTGGCCGCAGAGGGACCTTCTTGGCACGGCGTGTTCTGGTCAAGCCCGTCCAGGGCTCCATGGAGTTGCCCGGCAGGAGAGGGGAGGTCCGAGGCTCACACCCCGGGGAGGGCCGTACGCGCTGCACCAGGGATGTCCGTGTCCAGGCTCTGGAAGCCCCGCCGCCTAGGCGTCGTCCTCAGGGGCCTCACGGAGCCCTTCACTGTGGCGAGTCTGCCCAGTGATCTCCAGCAGGGCCCTGGCCTCAGGATCAACGTCGAGGATGCTCTTTTTGCCCTGGACCTTGGGGAGAAGGGGAGAGGGAATTCATGATGTGCAGAGAGGCGAGCAGCTCCCAAGAACTGGAACCGAGCAGTGGTTTCCGGCCCTGGGTTGGCTCTCCAGAGAGGGACCCACGCTCCGCCATTGCTGCGGAAGCCCTGAGGCCCCGCCCAGGGTGCTGCAGTCTCCAGAGTGATGAGGGGCTGCGTGGGTGCAGAAGGGCCCAACCAGGCAGAGCCAGGCAACCCCAAGGAGCCCAGGCCTTCTGGTCTCACAGATGGGCAGGGAGGACAAAGGGACACACCTCGGGCAGGGCCCTGCTTTCCGGGACAGGGCCCAAAAACCAACTGTGCCGTGCGCCTGCAGCGTCCCCAGAAACCAAGCAGGACCAACCACCCCCGTGGGGAGGAACAGAGGAGCCCCACCTTCGAGACCCTCCACTCACCAGCTGCGACTCTGGGGGGTCTCCCACCGCCCACACCTCCATCTTGTCAAAGCGGAAGTTCTCCTTGGAGGACAGCTGTGGGCTGTTGTACGTGGTGCACGTGGGCTTGGCCTTGCTGTGTCCCTTCCCGAAGTCAGCATCTACCCAAAGCCCGAAGTAATCGTGCTGTCCTCCCAGGCCCTGCAGAGGAAGCCCCAGGGCGTCAGCGACTCGGGGTCCCCCCTCTAGGCACGGCCCAGCGCGCAGCGGGAGGCCAGCCCGCCTTTCTCCCAGGCTGGGCCCACCCCTGGCCGACAGCCTCTGCTTCTTCCTGCAGCTGCCACACTGAAGCAAGGACAGCCAGGAACCGTGGCCACCCCAGTGTGGAGCCACACGCTGCTCCATGAGCCACCGGCCAGCCTGGCTATGTGCCAGCCGAGGGACAGGAGGGCAGGGTGCCTCGTGACGGGTCTGCCACCCTCGTGGGCCACCACAGGAGCCAGGAGAAAAGGGCACATTCACCCTTTGCACGCACCACCGAAAGCCCAGCAGAGGCCACAGCCTTCCTGAGGGGACCCTGGCCCCGGACAGGACAGACAGACACAGTGCACGTGAGCACCAAAAGGCACAGGTGAGCATGCCTGGTGGCAGAGGTGACGCTGCGTGTCAGGAGGGACCCACCCACCCCCACCCACCCACCCCCACCCACCCCCACCCCACACACTGCAGCGCTCACCAGTCCGTTCGGGATGGTCTGCTGCCCGCAGTTCAGGTACATGAAGTGGTCGTTGTAGCCCGTGTGCCGGTACACGGCCATGCTGGGGGAGACGGAGAACAGGAAGCACCGCTCGTCCCCTGGAAGCCACAGAGCAACGGACACCAGGTCACGGTGTGCGCCAGGCACCAAGAGCGGCAGACACATGGCTCCTGCTCAGGAAGCGCAGGGAAGACCTTCCCGCCACCCTCCAGGGCCCCAGACTGGCACACCCCTAGTGCTTGGCCTCTCTGGACCAGACGGTGGGTCCAGACCTCGCACTCGTGGCTGTCCAGGGACCCAGCAGGCTGGGCTGGGGTCCAGGGACTAGACTGGCACCGAGTAGGATCATGATTTCTGCTTTGGGGACATCCTTTAGCTCCTGCCAGGGGGACCCAGGGAGGAATTCTGCCGGCTGTTTGCCAGGATTGGTTCAGGCCGGGCAAGGACCCAGAGTCGGGAGGCGCCTGCCTCAGGAGCAGGGGCAGGTGGCCCCCAGGACGCTGCGGAGCCTGCTGGAGTGTGTGTGTGACGGCGTGGGGCCGTCCCCACCTAAAAGACCTCCATCCTGGAGAGAAGAAAGCTGCAGACAGAGCCCCCCACAGCGCAGGACCTCGGGGAGGGGAGGGACAGCAAGAGGCGGCACAGGTGTGAGCACACGGGCCATTTAAAGAAGCGCTGGCCGGACATGGTGACACAGGCCTGTAATCCCAGGGCTCGGGAGGCTGAGGCAGGAGGATTACAAGTTGGGACCCAGCGGCATCAACTTAACAAGTCCCTAAGCAACTCAGTGAGACCCTGTCTCTAAGTAAAACATAAAAAAGTGCTGGGGATGAGGCTCAGTGGCAAGCACCCTGGGTTCAATCCCCAGATTAATAAGAAGCACTGGTCAAAACCTTGGAAGTGACCCCTGCCCCACCAGCACTCAGCACTGGGGCGGGATGAGGGGCCTGCCTTGCCCACAGGAAGCTCTGTCAAGGGACCACCCCAGAGCTGCCTGCCACGTCCCAGTGCTGGGCCCAGAGACTGCACCTGGACACTGGACCCTGAAATGCCTGCGACTGTGAGAACCACCGCCCAGGCCTGGGGGGAACAAGCGCTCGGCAGCTTGGAGGGAGGGGTGCCACGAGGCGGAAAGGGGTCACAGGAAGCACGTGGACGACATAAGGGGGCATCCAAGGCCCAGGGGACCATGGGATGAGGACATTCTTGAGCAGGCCGAGTGCCAGCAAATAATGCCCTGACCGCCAATCAGACAGACGGTGGGGGCCTCAGTGGCCAGGGTCAGGGCCTCAGGCAGCACATCAACAGCCAGCAAGGGCAGGAAGGACGTGCTGGACAGAGGTGGCGGGGCCACAGCCACTCATGCAGGAAGGACCCCACACAGGGATGAGCCTGGGGCACAGCAGGGGCCAGTCAGTCCCCCTGAGCACCTGTGGGTGTCCAGGTGGGGAAGGAAAGACTGAAACGGCACCTGGGACCACACAGAGGCCTGGTAGGCGCCTGTCCTCGGCAGTCGGGAGGCAGAGGGCCTGGGGCACTGGGAGCTGCCTGGTCCCCCCGCTCCTGCCTCCCCTCCTGGGCACCGGGCTTTAGAGCAACGTCACTTTGCTTTGTGGTCCTGAAGCTGTCCCTCGACTGACACTTACTGGGCCCTGCTAGGAGAGGTGCCGGGGCCACGGCGTGGGCCATAGCTGCAGGGACTCCCCCTGGTCCAGCTGGGGCTGCTGACAGGGGAAGCCACGTGGAAACAGTGGCTCCAGCTCATGGGGAAGACCCCAGGGTCGCTCTGCCTGCTGGAGTGGACCCCACAGGAGGGCTCCTTTCTGGTTCTCACCATCGAGCACCCGGCCGAGCTGTGAACACGATCAGTACATGACCGTCACGGGCTTCTGGGAACTGAGGCGCAGAGACCCAAGCACCTCCCCGAGGGCCAGAGTGGGGACCAGGCCCGTCACCCAAGCCTGGAGTCTTTCCAAGAGCACCACAGAGTGATCCCAAAGAGAAGTGCCATTCGGCCGCTCCCCTCTCAGAGCTGGAGGTGCCCAGGTGGACACTGCCCTGAAGGGGACCAAAGCCCAGGGCAGGGCCACCGCAGGCCTAGGCTGCCCTGGGCTGGAGCTTCGTCCCGCGTTCCAGGGCAGAACGAGGTTGACGTGATGCCTGGTCTGTGTAACTTCCGGCGTTTCCCCCACGTACCACCCTGCAGGGCACGAGGCTCTTCACGCCCCACTGAACCTGGGGGACAAAGTCAGCGTGTGTGGACCACTGAGGCCCAGCAGTGGACCTGAAGGTGTCCTCATGGCTCTGTGGTCATCTGTGGTCCCGACTCTTGGCCTGTTCGTGTCCTAAAGCAGAGCCTGAGCCACACAGTCACCGGTGGGAGGACACCCCACCCCAGATGTTGAGGTACGGAGGCTGTTGTTTCCAGAAAAGTCCATGTGGGGAGAGTGCCCACCAGTGTCAGAACTAGCACTCAGAGATGAATCAGATTCTAAAAACAACCAGATCCAGGGGACAGAGGCACCAGCCCTTCACCTACTGGTTCTACCCCTCCCCGATCCCAGGGACACGGCCGCTGGCCTCTGACGAAGCTCCCTGGGGATGCTCTCGGCAGGTTCTCCCGGGGAAGGGGAAGGTCTGCCCCAGCCTCTGGCACTGGGCGAGCAGCTTCAACCTCCACCAAGTCACAAGACCAGGAGGCAGCGCCCACAGAAGGGAGGAGGGGACAGGAGGGCGGCCAGTCGGTCCAGGCAGCAAAAATGTCCCTCTGAAAGAAGAGTCACCTGTGGGTCCCTCCCAGACATCCGCAGCCCGACCTCTCCCACGACCTCTAGACCTGGTGGGGTGGGTGACACTGGGCCTCTGTGTCCTCTCCTGGAAGCTGGCCCGGGGCTGCCCCTGCGTACTTTACCCCATGGCCAGGACCGGAGGAGGTCTGCGCACCAGAAAGGTGTCCTGGCTTGTCAGGCCCTCGTGTCCAGGACACCGGAGAGGCCAGGAGAAGGCCTGCCAGCGCCCCGCTCCCCACGGCGCACAGCCTCCAGGGCAGCAGCAGCAGGCGGGCGCCCCCACAGCTGGGCTGCCCCGGGGAGTGCGGTCACTCAGGCTCACCTTGGAACTGAGGCTTGACCTCCCAGGGGCAGGAGGCAAAGCCACCGAACACGTGTCCGTCCTGGTCCTCGAGGAGAATGAGGCAGGGCCCCCGGTGCGTGATGTGCCCGCACAGCTGCGAGAAGCTCTGCCCGTGGAGCTGGGAGGAGAAGAGCAGGCGCCAGTGGTGCCGCTGCTCCCGCGCCAGGTGGGAGTTGAGGTAGATGACCGCCAGGACGTCCAGGACGCTGTCAAACTCCTGCCCGGGGCCCACCTGGCACTCGGGCACCAGCGTGGCCAGATCGAGGGACGAACACAGGACCAGGAAGCCTTGGTGGATGACCACTCTCAGGAACGTGGCCACGTGGGGTACCCTGAACACCCAGTCCTCGACCGTGGCTCGGTCACAGGCATGGTCCAGCCAGTGAGGCCCCAGCGGCCTGCTGCCATCTAGGAGGGGGAAAGTGGTGTCACTGGGCCAGCACGGCACCTTCCAGCGACTAAGCCACACAGAAACAGGAGCTGGGGACCGAGCGTGACCCTGGACACGGGAGGCGGCTCAGCTGACTGGAGATGAGCCCGAGCACCAGGCACCCAACTTCAAACCCTGGTATGGAAAAGACCGGAAAATAGCTCACAGCTTCTTGTTTACATTGATTACATGTCGGAATCCACTTGTCCTTCCCACTATTTAAATGTGGCTGCTATAAAATTTGGGAATTCCACGAGGGGCCTGCTTTATTTCTTCAGTGCGTGGTCTCAACGATTTGAGTTTGAGACCCCTGTCCTCTCCTTCCCCACTGAGCTGCCCACCAAGCTGCACCTCAGCCGCCCACCTCACAGCCAGGCCCTTACAAGGAGGCCGCGTCCCCCGTGCCTCAGCAGCTGGGACCTGTGAGGGCTTCAGCCCCAAGGGTCAACTGTCCAGGGTGGGGTGGTGGCTGGTCACTCACGGGGACCCTCTAGTTGATCTGGGAAAAGCTAATGCTGTTGTCCCTCTCTCACCTACAGAGTGAGGTGACACGGTGATGTCACAGGACACACCTGGGCCTGAAGCAGCCTCGGTTTCCCTGTGGGCACAATGGACGTGATACCAGAACACCCCTGTGTGGTCACCGCCAGGTCCAGGGAGCTTTGTTTTTAAACTCACTAGTGCGTGTGAAGCCTCCGTTCACAGCTATCATCACTCCCAACCCAGGGGAACGTGGGGTCTAAACTCAAATAATGGTTTTCCTCTAACTCCTGCCCATTTTACTTACCAGGAAATGTAGAAACCCAACTACTTAATCATCCTCTTCCCAACTTGTATGAGGCTGCAAATTCCTATCATTTCTAATCAAACTAGTTTTCAAATACATTTCTCATTACCTGTTCATTACCGAAATCTTAAGGATAATTTTAATTGTTTGATTTAACTTTTTCTAGTTAAAAGACAACTTAAGTTTTCTCTTTTTATGATTCTTCTTTTTAAAACTATTGACTTTGAAATAACAAATAATTGGGCTGGGGATGTGGCTCAAGCGGTAATGCGTTCACCTGGCATGCGTGGGGCGCTGGGTTCGATCCTCAGCACCACAGAAAAATAAAATAAAGATGTTGTGTCCACGAAAACTAAAAAAATAAATATTAAAAAATTCTCTCTCTCTCTCTTTAAAAAAAAAACAAATAATTCACCCACAAGATACTGATATGTATATCTTTCCACATTCCAAATACCTTCCTAAATATTTGCAACATGACTTATTTTTAAATTGCATTTTAAAACCTGGCTTTATAATAAAAGAATAACATATTTATAAAGTAAGTCTACTTTGCAGAGAGACTTCACCATGAAGTTTTTTAAAATCTCAAATCCCAAGTAAATCTAAATGTATACTGTTTCTCACCCAACGGTAGCAGAATACATGCTTCTCAAGTGTATGATGGACAATGCCCCAAGTAGACCATATTCTAGGCCAGAAAAGATGCCCCCAGTAAATCATACAATGTATGTTCTCCAACCATGAAGAAATAAAATTAAAAATCAGGGGGCTGGGGATGTGGCTCAAGCGGTAGCGCGCTCGCTTGGCATGCGTGCGGCCCGGGTTCGATCCTCAGCACCACATACAAAGATGTTGTGTCCGCCGAGAACTAAAAAATAAATATTAAAAAAAAATTCTCTCTCTCTCTCAAATAAGACCTGAGGATGAATGTTTAAAAAAAAAAAAAATCAGTAGCCAAAGGCAATTTGAGGAATTCACAGCATGTTAAAATCGAATGACACTTCTAAATAGCCAATAAGTCAAAGAAGAAATTGTAAGGGACATTAGAAAACACTTAAGATGAAGGAAAACAAAACCTAAAACTCACAGGTGCAGCTAAAGCAGTGTTCAGAGGGAAATTCATAGCTGCCTATGCTGACGCTGCCTACAGTGAGGAGAGATCTCAAATCAATCATCTCTACCTGTAACTTAAGAAATCAGGAAAAGACGACGAACTAAACCTAATGCAAACAGAAAGAAGGGAACAAAAGACTAGGGCAAAAATATATGGAATAGTAGAAAAACAGCAGATTTTAAAAAAAAATCAATAGAATCAAAATCTGGTTCTTTGAGGAGATCCACAAAAAAAAAAATAAGAGAAACATTGTTCACATCAGCAACAGAGGTGGGGCCATCGCTAGAATGATACAGAAATCCCACGACACTCAGAACACACCCAAGGGCTCACCCACCCTGCAAGGCCACAGCCCTGGAGACCCCCAGTCTACCACCAAGGCCAGCGTCACTGAGGATGGCCGGGCACTTGCCTGGAAGCTTCATCTCAGACAGCAGGTGAGCAGCCAGTGCCTGCACCCTGGTGGGGGTTCCGGGGGCCTTCTTCCGGGTCCAGCCCTTCAGCTCCTGCCTGTGGGCCAGCACATGCTCCACAGAGCCAACCAGATCCTCTGTGAACTGCAAGCCCACAATTCCACCTTTAACAACTGTCCACCACGACCCAGACCCCAACCACACCACTGTGGGCCGGCCAGTTCTCTCCAACACCCCACATGGACTGCAATGTGAGGCAGTCACCAACTGACACAGGTCCTCATCCTTCTAGTGGCACACAGGGCTGATAGGAAGTCCCCAACCGAATAGGTCCTCATCATTCTGGTGACACACATGGCTGACCTACAAGTCCTGCCCCAGCCTTTGTCCAGCAGTTCGGACCCTGGACACAGGGTACATGGCCTAGGGTTCCCCAGGAGCAGAAATCTCAGCCAAGTCCCCACCCTAGTTCCAAGCCCACGGCCAAGACCACTTAGGGGGCCTGCGTCCTCTACCTTCTGGAGGTCTCTGGCTTTCACGGGACCTTCCTTGGCAGAAATCATCTTCAGAATCATGAGACTCCTCTCCTCAGAGCTGCCCTTCAGCATGTGGGACAGCGACACCGTGAACTGCTCCTGAGAGACGCCCTTGCTGGGCCCCTGAGCCCTCCCAGTCGGGTGGACTCTCTGCATACCGTCATACAGTCTGGTGACCATCTCTGGGGGAAGAGCCTCCCCAATGCGGTTCTGCTGGGGACAAGTGGGAGAAAGGGCTGGAGGGGCACAAGGTCAACTTGGTAGTGTCCCAGCGCAGTAAGCTGGGGGCTGGGACCCTGATGCTCCCAGCAGCTGGCTCCCCCCTGCCCAGGGCCCACCCTCACAGGGCCCGGCGCACGGCTGCCTTGGCCACCAGACTCCTCCACTCTGCTCCTGCCCTGCCTGCCATACTGTCCAGTGTCCCCGGTTGGCCACGTCTTTCCTGCTTCTGCCCATCACTCCTCCTGCTTGTCACTCCCTTAGGAGATCATGTTGGTTAGAGCCTTGTGCTGCTACATCTGAGCTTATTCACCTACGAGGCACGTCTGTGCAGAGCCAATCTGGCCTCCACGCTAGGGGTTTCCGAGTGCCTGGGTCCGCTGCACTAGCCCAACTCTTGTGCTCAAGATGCCTTTCTAATCACTTCCACTAGACTTTGGATTTCTCAATCAGCACTTTAATGATGTCATTGTACAAATACTGTTTTTCTTTTTGGCTTCGACATCAAATGTGATTTGACCAGGGATGGCAAACAAGCAGAAAAGAGCACAAGTCATGAACAGAGTCACAGGGTCCAGCGCAGGGTCGGAGTGCGGGGCTCCCACCAGCCCCAGGAGCACGAGCCGTCTGTCACGGCGTCAGTGCCTGCAGCTCTCCTGGGCGCTCTCAGGAGACTCCTGTTTCTGTCCACTTCCAGAGTTCTGTCGCAGAGCACTCTAGGCCCTCCCCAGACATGGCACTCAGTGGCCAAGGTCTACAGGTCAGCTCTTACGGCTCACCACCTCAGCCGTCCACTACGGTCAGGTCCTGGCCTGCCTAGTCCTCTCAGCTCCATCCGCATGTGCCCAGGCCCACTGGGTGCTCCTGGTCTGGAGGAGACACACAGGCACACAGGTGGGCTGCGCCATGAACTGGAGCCGCCAAAGCCTCCCTGGCCAGCCTCCTCGTCTGCAAAATGTGGGTGGGCCCAATGCCCATGAGACCCACACTGCCCCCCTCCCGGGGAGACGCACTAATGCAATCTTTGGTCAGTGTCCTGCCCAGGTTGAGCACTTGAGGGTCCTACGGAAATGGCCAGTTTTACCTCCCTGAAGGAGACCCTGGACCGTGAGTCTTCAGTACAGCGTCAGGAGCACTGTAAGGGGCACAGGTACACCCGAGGCACTGAGGCAGCCCTGTCCCCAGCTGCCACCCTGTGTCGGGGAGGGCGGCCAGGAGACTCGGCTCCAGGGCAGGAGGCAGTGGCTCCCCTTGCTCAGGCTGAAACGCCCCAAACTCTGTGGAAGTTCCCATCTACTCCTAGTTCCTTTCTTCCATACAAATACGACTATAGTGACCTCAACAAAAGAGGAGGGACCCTTTAGATGTGACCAATGGCTGCTCCGCAAGGCAGGGCAGAGGAGCCACAAGGGACACCACACAGCCCTCCGCTTTTCAGAGGGTCCACTCCTTAGTGCTCCCCTCTGCCCCAGGACCAGGGTGCACAGACCCTGGGCCCAGCTCAGCACGGGTGCCAGCAGCCGTCCTTGCCTTCAGCGCCTGCAGTGAGAAGGACCTGGGCAAGGCCTCAGAGCTGTCCTTGTCCAACGACAGAGTGCCAAACAGCGCATCGACCTCCGCCTGCTCCTCGGGAAGGAACTGGGAGTAACACTTCTGCTCCGCGCGGCTCCTGCTGTTCCCCATCTCTCCTGGGACCCAGTGGGTTCTCTGCAGAAGGACAGAGACAAGTTAGGGAAAGGTCAAAGTAATCATCGAGGCAGTGACGACTCTGGGTCCAGCCAATTCTGCTGGAAAACGCAGCTAAAATGCACTGGACCTCGAAATGGGGCTTCCATGTGGTAGACATTAATAGTTGGCACCAGCCGTGCCCAGAGGATCGCTGTGATAATGCACTGGGTCAGCAAAGCGAAGGGCAGGGACGGTGCCTTGTGTGGCCGGGCCCTTCAGGTCCCAGCCAACAGGCCTCTTTCATCTGAGGTATCAGAGGGGCAGAAACAGAGGGGCAGATACTGACACCCAAAGGCAGGTGACCCGGGGGCCTGGTTCATTGTCACAGGCCTGGAAGAAGCCAGGTGCCAGGGGGGTCCATAAAAGGAGCAGTTAGAGGGGGCTGGGCTGGGGCTCAGTGGCAGAGCACTCGCCTCGCACATGTGAGCCACTGGGTTGGATCCTCAGCATCACATAAAAATAAATGAATAAGATAAAGGTCTGCTTTCATCTATAGCTAAAAAATATCAAAAAAAGAAAAAGAGCACAGAGAGGAAAACACCTCTTGAAAGGTGAAGTAGGTGACATTTATCCCCTGTCCCGGCTTCCTGGGAACTGTATTGGTGAGACCGCCAAGGTGACAAACCCTTCACCAGCACAGGCAACTTGGTAAGCGGGGTCTGTGCCGCAGGAAGCAACCTCCCAGGAGGCTGGGCCAGGAGGAGGCCATCCCAGCGGCAGGGAGCATGACGAGTGTCCCCATCAAGATGTGACGGCCAAAGGTGGGTGCCCAGGGGTCTCTTTCCTTTTATTGAGGTGAGAGCCCCACAACGCGACGCCAACCGTGTTAAGGAGATCGATCCAGGGGCACTTAGGCCATCGACGGTGTCGTCAGCCCCCACCTATGGGGGCCCCCACCTGTGGGTGCCAAGGCACGCCCATCAGCCCCGCGGCACCCTGCTCCTGCCACTTCCCAGCCCAGGCAACCACAGCTCTGCCCCTGTGGCTCCCATTCTGGATGGTCCCCCAGCAAGTCCCAGCACGTGGGCTTCCCCGCCTCCCACTTTTCACCCAGCCCTGCTGACCTGCCACCCAGCCAGGACTGGTGTCTGCCCTTTACCCCTTCCTAGGGCCAACTGGCACTTCACCATGTGAACAGGTCCTCGCTCGTGCAGCCGGGCCCTGATGTTCTCTTGGCCACTGTGAGTGGGCCGTGGTGAGCCCGCATCCGATCCAGCCATCTCTCACAGTCCCAAGGTGGACACCGAGCCCTGGAGCTGCTGGCTCCTAAGGTGACCCTGACTCGGAGGAACTGCCACACGGCACTCCACTTCACAGTCCCCTGCAAAGCGCAAGTCCTCCATGTCCCTGCCATGGTCCTCTTTTGACTGAGGTCGTCTGTCCGCGGGGGGCCTGCCTTGACCAGCTTCACTGCTAACACACCCGCACGAGCACGCCTGGGGGGGGGGGGGGTGCCTCCCCAGAGTAGGACTCGCGGGGCTTGCCAAGGCAGGCTGGGAAGGTCGCCCAGCCCAGTGTGCGGTGCCACTCACGTGCCATCTGATCTAAATGCTTCTGCTCAGGTTTCACAACAGCAGAAGAGCCAAGAAGGAAAACATCCGGCCTGGCCCAGTGTCCAGTGGCTGGAAGCTGGCCCCATCTCTGAGGCAAAGGGGCTGCTTCAGAGGAGTCCCACCCCAGGGCACAGCCATGCCAAGGAGACCCCAAGGGCCAGGGGGCAGGCCAAACGTCCACACCCAAGCCCCAATAAATAACACAACAAATAAATAAATAAATCCAGGGCTCAACCAGGAGAGGGAGCACCGTACCAACTTTTAAATACCCACTGAATGTCAGGGGTGTGCACAGGGAGGTTGGCCAACAGATATAACGTTGCTGACCCAAAAGGTGGCCTCCCACAGCAGGATGATTGCAGCAACCGTTTGTTTCAAATATCCAGAAGAGTGGATTTTGAATGTTCTCACCACAAACGTAACAGGACAGAAATCTCCCAACAGTGTCCAACCTCCCAACAGTGTCTGGGAGGAAAAGAAGGCTTCTGATATGCCCCTTCCAAATGCAAGCTCCCGAACTTTAGTCCCAGACAAGCTTTCTCATCAGACTTTCATAGGTTCACCTTGGTATGTGGGACAGCCACCGTCCTGCCACGTTGACCCATGTCAAATCCTCTTAGAGAAAGAAGCTTGCGGCCTCTCAACTGGAGGTGGTTTCTTCTCCCAGGGGACATGTGACAACGATGGGAGACATTTGGGTTGTCATAACTGGGAGAAGAGAGTCCTGCTGGCATTTGGTGAGCGGAGGCCCAGGATGCTGCTGACCATTCTACAGCGTACAGGACAGCCCTCACACCAGGGAGCCATCCGGCCCCAAAGCCCACAGGCTGAAGGTGAGAAGCTGTGGCTTCAAGGACGTGAGCAGGGGCCAACAGGATGGTGTCCCTCCCACCCCAAGGACGCTGGTTCACACCCTGCCCCTCTCTGCATGGGACTCCAGGCCCTGCCGTTATAGCATAGGCAAAGATCTGAGTTCAAATCACAACACTCCGTATGAGGACTAGGGGACAAGTCAATAAGCTCTTTTCAACCCTTAAAATGGAAGAAAGTCCAGTAGCCCACAGGTGACAGATTGCTCGCTTGACCAAATTTTAGTCAGGCTCTGCTCCTATCTGTGCTCTTCCATGTAAAAATCCACCTTTCACGAGGACCCTATCCTCATAGCCCATTATCCCTGTTAATTAACCAGGTTCTTCATCCTCCACCAACCCCTGGGTAACAGCTCATCACCCCGGCCTGTCTTCTGCAAAAACCTGGTTAGGTCAGGCCAGCCAGAATCCCCCTCCCTCCTGATGTTGCCTCTGGTCATTTTCTGTCCACTGACCCCTACCTGTTCCTTGGCTGTAAATTCCCACTTGCCCATGGGAGAAGACCCCCGTCTTGCCCCCTCTGCCATGTCCCTGTACCTATGGCCAGGCTCTTGAATGAAGCCTGGCTTGGCGTGCTCTCACAACCATCAGTGAATGATTTAACACAAGGTCAAAGGATTGAATAAAGCAATCCAGGGACTGGGGAAGGCCAAAGACGGGAATAGCTGGGCCCGAGACAAGCAGAGGCAGCTCCTTGGGTCTTGGTCTGGGAACAAGGGAAGCAGTCCCACCCTAAGGAACCACAGCGGGATCCCACGCCTCGCTAGAGAGACGACGGGGCCTTTTCTGGGCACACTTCCTGTTGGTGTCCCAGGACGCTCTGTGGACTCCTTTCTAGGCTTCTCAGGACCAGTCCTGTCATCATGAGGAGGCTCCACCCTGGCCGGCCAACCTCCAACCCTCTACCTCTGAGGAGCCATCACCCTTAAAGCCATGAACACGGCTCTCCCTGTCCCCTTTCTGGGCACACTCCAACCACTCCATCAGAACCCACCCACTTTAGGTCCTGTTTATGCCCAGAGTCCAGCACCCCTCTGCAAGGGGCAGCTGAACCCAAGCAAGGCGTTCCTCTGGCCCAAGGCTGGCTTCCCTCCCGCCACCCTGGGCTCAGAGGGCTGTGTCCCGGGGGCACTTTGCTTTCCTCTCCTAAGCTATCATTTCAGTTATCGGCTCCAGGCCAAGAAGATCCCCGCACATCCTCCATATATCCCCACTCCTGCTGCCTCCACAGATGCTCCGCTTCCTTCCTGTGTCAATGCCAGCATTCTCTCTCGTGGCTCTCCCTTCCGGACAGCTGGCCTTGACCATGGGGAGGGCACTTCTAGGGACTTCTTATCTGATCGCACAAAGGGCAGAAGGCCAGTGTGCTTCCGTGCTCAGAGGACCACACCGGAGGCCCTCCCTCCCTCTGAGCTGTCCCCGGGCACCCTCCAGGGGCCTGGACAGGCCCGGGCACTCAGGGAGCGGCAGGGCTCAGGCCCACTGGGGACACGCTCCGCACGCATCCGCACCCCAGTAGAGCCCGGCCCGCGCTCCCGCTCAGCTCACCGACCTGAAGGACCCCGCCTGCCTTCCGGTGGGTCCGGTGGGTCCGGCAGCAGGGGTTTGCTCGGGGGAGTCTCCCCTGCCTTGTTCCCTGGCAACGGCGCGGACAGGCGGTCGAGTGCCCCAATCCAGGAAGCAGGATCTGGAGGCGGAGCCCAGGGACGAAGTCAGCCAATGGCGAGGCGTCTCAGGGGAGTGGGCGGGGCCGGGCTCCATGGACCGGGTCCGCAGGAAGGAGCGGCTGCGGGCGGTCACTGGGAATTGGCTAGCAAGGAGAGGCAGTGCCCGGCCCGCAGGGCTGCTGGGGAGGAGAGGCCCTGGGCGGGGCGGAGCGGAGGAGCTGGGCGAGGGAGCGAGGCTGAGCTGGGGGCTGAGCACATTCCCGGGAGGAGAGAGACCCAAAAGGGGACCCAGCTGAGGACCTTGCTCTGCTAGCCTCCGAAGACAGAGTCCCCTGTCCTCCACACCCCACCCTGCTGGTCCTGAGGGAGGCTCCTTCCCGAACTAGAGCCGTCCCCGGGCCTCCTTCCACCTTTTCAATTGGTTTTATCTATCATCCCAGCTTGGTGAGTAGCCAGGAAGGTGTTCACAGTCGTCACTGATGTGGCCTCACTGTCCAGAGGGCAGGACAGGATCTGTCCAGTTCCTCCCGGTGGCACAGTTTGGTAAACACTCCCTGACCTGTGTGTGCCCTTCTTCAGCTTCACCACCCCTTCATCCCAAAATGTTTTGACACATAGCCTCCATTTCTTCCCCTCTGCCCATTTCTTAAGCCTACTGAAAGCCTGTCTTGGGGACCCTGTCACTGACTCCAAGGGGCACTGAGCCCTGGCATGCAGCATGGCCTCTGGGCGTTCCTGCCTCCTCAGCTCCCCTTTCCTGGGCTTCCGGGGTGCTCATTCCTTGCTCCCATCTTCTCCCAGTCCTGCTGGCTTCAACTCCTTCTGCTTCTTCCTTCCCCTCTTTCCACCCCCTGCATCCTCCTGAGATAGCACCCTTTCCCCCCCTACCTCTGTGTTGAGCACTAACCTGCCGGTCCAGCAGGTTTGCTCACCTGGACTCTGACCCCATAGGTCCACTGTAGGCATCTCACACTCAGCCTAGCAAGCCCGGTCAGCCTAGCAGTCCCTAGACTGCATCTCCTGTTTACTTCCAACCACCTCCCATGGCCCAACAAGAGACCTGGAGGGTGCCTCCTCCTCTCCCAATTTGATTACTAAATCTGCTTTACCTCTAAGATATGGCCTGGTCTGCTCACTTCCCAAGGACCTGGTGGTTCAGGCTGGGCCTTGGTAATGGCCTCCTTGCCTCCTCCAATACGCCCTCCTCCACATGCTGCTGCCACTGGAGCACTTCACACTGAATCCCAGATCCTGTCCTGCCCTCTGGACAGCGAGGCCGCATCAGTGACGACTGTGAACACCTTCCTGGCTACTCACCAAGCTGGGGTGACAGATAAAACCAACTGAAAAGCTAGGAAAAGGAGGAGCAGGACTGACTTCTCCATAATGACCCCTTTGAATGACAACACTTCTACAGAGGACTCTGCTCTCTAAAGTCACCCACCAGCAGAAAGTTGCTGTTTGAAATTCTGTGGGTCCAAATGACCCAGCGGCTCTCCCTGGAGGACCGTGGTAGCAGTGACTGGAGTGGCCGCCAGGGTTCTAGCCCAGAGTGACCCCTTGCAGGCAGTTTCTGGACATCCTGAACCACAGCATCTTAACTCAGAGGTCCACTTTGCAGAGACCTGAGGCTGGCCCTTCGCACACAGCCTCATCTGAACTTGACCTGAGCTCCGACATGTGGAAACTCTTGGCCTCTTCAGGTGAGTGGCCCCAGTTAGCACACCTGACAGCATAGGAGCAACCCGGGGTGCCAGGCAGTTTGGGCTGGGACAGCTGTAAGATCCACGGAGGCAGCACTGTCTTCTAGTTTACTTGTGTGTGTGGCACTCCCACCACGGTGCAAGGGGTGACGAGCCAGAGGTAAGCACCACTGCCCTGCCTGGCACTCACATGCCTCCTCCATCGCCCAGCCCCCACCTGCTGAAGGAGTGGGAGGTGCTGGTCCCCTCCTGTCCCAGTTCCACCTGGCCTGGCTCCAAGGATATGCCTTCTGCCCCCAAGGGCGTGCCCGCCCTGGCCACCTGGGAGGCTGCCTGGCTCCTCAGCGCCTTGCTTTGCCCTGCTGCCCTCCGCTGCCGATTGCTTTTGCTGTATTTATTTCCTACGTCTCCCCAAGAGAATGCAGGCCCCCAGCCAATGTTCCTGCCAGGTCTGCTGGTCTCCTTAGCAGAACCAAGGCGCGGCCATTCAAGAAGTAAAAAATGGGGTGACCTCAGGAAGCCAAAGGACTCTGGCTGATGCCCATGCTTAGCCTGGGCCAGGCTCGGCCCTCCTGTGACTAGGGCAGGAGAGGTCACCAGAGACCTGCCATCCCCAGCACTTGGGCAAAGCCTAGGGGGCCCAACTTTTCCTGCGAGATCCAATGAAGGGGCAACCAGGGATTGAAGGTTTGCCTGCACTTGGGGTGACACTGACACCAGTGGGCGGTCCTCGGGGACATCAAGCAGAGCTTTACAGTCAACAGTGAAGCATGGTTTTCCATCCTGCCACCTGATCACTGCACACGGGATGGAGCGTCCTGTGGGGGGCTCCTAGTCCAGCCAATCAGCTGCTTGGGGTCGGCTTGGTCACCTACCCAGGCACCCCTGCTGTCTGGCAATCAGATGCTTCCAGGCCATTTAGGTTAGAACAAAAACAGAAGCCCTTCCTGCCTGAGGGCTGCAGGCCTGACTGCCCACCACTTACAAGACATGGCCGCTCCTGGAGAAATCCTCTGACCCAGGAGCCCAAGGTACCAAGAGAAGCAGAGTGACACGTCCCCAAGCCAGCCAATGCCATCTCACGTGTGCCAATGACACAGGTGAAGAGCCCTGAGTCTTCCCCTCTGCTGGCTCCAGATAGGTGTCTGTCACCTACACACAGGACTCCTGATGTTCAAGACACCTGGTACTGGAACACGGATCAGGTCCCTGAGTCCTGCCTCAAGGCTCTCTGCAGTGGCCCCTGGAGCAGCTGTGGTGCAGATGAAGAGACAAATTCATATAAGTGGAGATGTGCTGTGGGGGCGGGGAGGAGAGAGTAGTGGCCTCTCAGGTGTGGACAGTAGGGGCAGGAGCTTATGTGGAGGGAGCCATTGCCAGCTGCGTGGCCGTAACAAACAGCTGACGCACCCTCCGAGGTCTTTGAATTGGGAGAGCTTTAAAGTATTTGAAATTTTGCCTATGAAGACTGTCTTTTTCTTCTTTTTTAATAGCCATTGCGCTATTCCAGCCACTCCCAGGGGAGTCCCCACATGCTGTAGCTGCACACGGGGGCTGGCCCCAGGTAGGCTGACTTTGAGCACTGATCTCTCCTTAGAGCCCCAGGGTCCTGGCTTCTGGTCCTGCCAGCCATGGGGACGCCCCTGCTAGCCAGCCTGGCAGGTGAGACAGAGTCCAACTCAGAAGGGCTGAGCCACCCACTAGAACCCTCTGCAGCTGGGCCCCTGCCGTCTGTCCCCACACGCCCTCCGTGCCCATATCTGGAGCCATCCTGGGATCCTCCAAGTTTGGGCTGGCAACGCACTTGGGAGACCCTCACCCAGCAGGAAATACAGGCGAGGTTGCCTTCCAAGGGAGGGACCCTCAGTACTGCCCCCCATGAACTTCTGCGATGGCAGAAGTTACCCACAGCTGTGCCATGTGAGCTATAGAGAGAGAGCAGAGAGAGACAGATGTTTTCATTTCATTGGAGGTAAGTTAGTTTTGATTCAGGTTTAGATAACCACATGTAGCTCACAGCAAATCGCACAAAGCATGCTGGACCCTATGCAGCATTTCATAGTAGAAAATAAACATTGAAAAACACACACCCACCCACTGGGACGGCTAATACTTAGTGGGAATAAGTGTTAGTGCAGAGACGGAGAAATGGGAACCCTGACAGTGGGAATGTTACAACGAACAGGAAAAATCTGGCAGTTCTTCAAAAAGCTGAGCAACTACAGCGTGACCCGGCAATTCCTCTCCTATGTTCACCCAAATCTGAGCCCAGGTATTCAACACTGCGTAAGGAGGGACACAGCACGGGCATAGCAGCCCAAAGGCGGACTCACACTTTCCATCAGATCTGTATGGACTCTCTGTGCACGATCACGCCTGGCATTCAAAAGGTGCTGAATGAAGGACAGACAGGCAGGAACACAGATGCACCTGGGAAACAGGACACTGAGAGGGGCCACACGCGGAGGGCCACTCAGGGATCATTCCACTCACATGACCTGTCCGTCACACAGAGCCTTGGACAGCTGACTGGTGGCTGCCCAGGGCCGGGGGCGGGAGGAAGAGTGGGAGCACCTGATCCTGGTGGGGACCCTTGGAGGTTAGAATGCTTCCCGACTAGATAGAAGTCACCCCAGGTGTGAGCGAGCTAAAGTCACTGAAGTGTACATTTTAAAAGGGTTGATTTTATCTTATGTGAATCTCACCAAAAAATCCTTAAAGAAGAACACAATTTTTTGAATCCCTCCCCCAGACAGTGGTGCAAAAGGCCTAAGGCCATGGAGACGAGGGGTTCCTGGGAGAGATTCAGAGGTGGGATTCCATGTCCCCTGAGGCCTTGGTGGCACCTCTCGGGGGCTCCAGTCAGCGTCCATGGGTCTTGTGAGGCAGCTGAGGGGCAGGGGCAGCGAGCAGGGTCTGCTCCTGGAAAGTGCCCATCTGTCCCCCAGCATCTGGCCCAGGTGGGAACCTGGGACAGGAACCGGGACAGGAAGGCACGGGGCCTGGAGTCAGCACAGAAGGGGCCTCCAGGGCCTCCCGGGTGACAGGAACCCAGCCGCGAGGCTGCAGGGACCTTCACGCAGGGCGAGCAGGGAGCTGCCAAAGCACCAGCATCCACAGCAAGGGGACCTGCCTGGGCAAGCCCGGCGGGAGGGGTGCAGAGGACGCAG